GAAACTATTCTGCAGTACAACTGGCCTTTTTTGGGTGTATTATTCTGTGAATTTCAATACACGTGTAGATTTATGTGACCATCCCATAGTCGGGCCCCAAAACTCCATCGTGTTACCTTTTAAAGTCACTTCCTTTCCACTCCTGACCCCGGACAACTACTGGCTTGTTCCCCATCCCTGCCGTTTTGCCTTTTCTGGGAATGTCGTATAAATGGAACCGTGCGGTGTCTAACCCGACAGAAAGGATCTGACTTCTGTCACCCAGCACAGCGCCTCCGAGACTCGGCCTGTTGCCGTGCGCGTTGGTAACGGTGGTGCCTCCCTTTTCATTGCTAAGGTCCTGCCACGGGATCTCTGCCCACACCGGCTCCTGCCACAGGATCTCTGCCCACGCCGGCTCCTGCCACGCGATCTCTGCACACGCTGTTTCCCCTTCGCCCTTTGCCATGGGTGGAAGCAGCTTGAGGCCTCACGGGAAGCCGAGCAGATGCCGGGGCCACGCCTCCTGCACAGTCTGCGGAACAGTGAGCCAAATACACCTCTTTTCCTTATAAACTGCCCAGTGGCGGGTGTTCCTTTATAGCAACACTGCCGGACTAAGACAGAGCTGGGATAAACACTTGTGCACACGTTTTGTGTGAACTAAGTGTTTGTCTCTGGGAGCAGAATTGTGGGTCACAAGAAAAGCTCAGGTTTAACTTTATAAGACGCTGTCGAGGCGGGTCCGGAGCGGCTGCCCTACTTTTCACGTCCACCAGCGACGTCTGAGAGCCCCAGTTGCTCTGCGTCCTCACCGCACCTGGTGGTGTCCATGGTTCTCCTTGGATCCCACGAAGTCCTGGCTCCTTCAGATTTCCTCTAAGTCTCGCTCGAAAACTGAAGCTTTTAAAAGACTCACCCCCTCCCTCGTCGTGCGCAGCTGGAAGGAACTGGCTGGAATCCCTGACTGCAAACTTCCTTAGCTTGGTCACCCGGCCCGGGAGGCTTGTCTTCCACCTTGCACGTCCCCGCGGGTCATGGTGCTGCTCGACCGTCTGCTCCCCCAGTTCCCGCTGACGCCGGCCGCGCTTGCCTCCAGGTTGCTGACAGCAGGGTCATCAGGCTTCGGCAGTAATAAATGCCTGCTTTCTTCTCAAAACTGGGGCTCAGGCACCGCTCCCTGGGGCAGGCTCCTCCCTACTGTACGTGACAGCAGCGGGGGTGGCTCACCTGGGGACTGGTGGTCCCAGGTGGCACCTCCCGGTGCTGGGAGTCGGTGCTGGGAGTCGGTGCTGCCGTGGCTCAGCGGGGCTGGGAGCTGGTGCGCAGCGCCAGGGCTGTCCCTGTGGTCGGGCTTCCGCACAGCACGGCGGCCGGGTTCCGAGGGCGAGCGTGCCCAGGGGGACCTCCTCCACCGAGGCAGTCCCAACCGCCTGCCCCGGTTCCGGGAGAGGGGCAGAGACCCCACCTCCTTACGGAGAAGTGCGAGGTCTGGCGTAGCTGGCGGAGAGGGATGCGCTGGGACGTGCTGTGGTTGGAAAATGCCGTCTGCCACAGGGGAGTGGAGGCGCGTGACCACTCAGCTTCCCTCCAGCCTCCTGCGCCCTGAGAAGCAAGCGCGGAGGGGACTTGTGGTGCGACTGGACCCAGCGCCCCCCACGCTGCCTTCCTGGCAACGGGTTGCAGTTGTGGAACCGTCGCTGGAGTGCAAGTAACGGGCCAGGATCTTGTCCTGCTTGTCCCATCTCCAGGGTCTAGAGCAGTGACGGGTGCACGGCAGGCACCCGGTGACGCGTACGTCAAATCACACACTGTAACATGCACCCTCTAAAGTGCACAGTTTGGCGGTTTCTCGCACACTCGCAGGGCTGCGCAGCCACCGCCACACTGTAACTCCAGGACGTCCCACCACTGCGCCCGTCAGCACTGCTCCCCCGTGTCCCCCGCCCCAGCCCCCGGCAGCCACTACTCTATTTTCTGTTTCTACGGATCTGTCCATTCTGGACATTTCACATAAAAGGAATCATAAAATATGTGGCCTTTTGTGTCCGGCGTCTTTCACTGAGGACAATGTCTTCCCGTCTGTCCACGCTGTACCCGTGTCAGAGCCTCGGCATTTCGTGGCTGAGCAACATTCCACGCGGACGGGCCACGCTCATTACTTATCCGTGGAGTCCGCGGCGTTTGCGTCGGTTTCGCTTTTTGGCTGTGACAGGCGAGGCTGCTGTGGACGTTCGTGAGACGCATGTGCGTGTCTCTGGCCACACACAGGAGTGGAATTGCCGGGTCGCACATGGGGCGACTCTGGGTTTCAATTTGACAAACTGCTAAGGTGGTTTCCGAGGCGGCTGCGCCGTTTCACACCCCCGCGGGGCGTGAGCCTTCCGGGCTCCCCACGTCTGCGCCGGGACGTGTCACTTTTCGGTTTGGTTTGTTTCTGATCCTGGCGTCCCAGCGGGTGGGCGGCAGCATCTCGTCGCGGCTTTGGCTCTGGTTCCCCGAGTACAGACCACGTCGAGCGTCTCTTCGCGGGCGTTCGGCCATCTGTTCCTGTCGTCTGAGGAAATATTGATTCGGATTCTTGGCCCATCTCGAGGTTGGGCTGTCTGTGAGGTGCTGGGCTGTCAGAGCTCTCCGTATGCTCCGGTTCAATGATTATTTTAAACGAACATAGGAATAAGAGGGACACGGCTCAGCAACCAGAGATTCTGACACTTTCTAGCCTCTGCCGCGTCTGACCCTTGACGAGAGCATTGGCTTCAGGACGCAGGTGAGCTCTTCCTGCTCACGGTCACGCTCGCCGGCCAAATTGCCGCGGACTCCTGCCCGCCCCTCCCGTCCCCGGGGCCCACAGGCACCGGCCCCGTGGCTGTGCCTTCCTGGCTAGTCCGGGGGCTCCCTCTCAGAGCCCCAGGACGTTGGAGGGCAGGGCCAGCGCAGGATGAAGCCAGGCTGAGGCCAGAGGGGACCCGAGGGTGCAGCCCGTGTGCCCGCCAGGTCTGGCCTGTGACCCCGCGCTCTCTGCACTGAGTCACAAGGATGCTCTGTCACCAGGGCTCGGGGGTCTCTGTTCCCAGGTCCCACTGCCTCTGTAGGCCGTCTGCTCTTGTCCCTCCCCGGGTCTGCATTAGAGCCGGGCAAACTGCCAACAGGAAAGGGGGCAGAATCAAGGCGGGGTGGCACGCGGGGGATGCCGGGAGTCGGGAGAGGCTGCAGCGTGGCTGGCAGCCCAGCGCCGACCCCAGCGGACCCTCCAGACCTGGGCAGGAAGCAGGGAGTAGCAAGCTCGTTCCTAATACCACGCTAACTTGTTACGTAGAGGGAGGTGACCAGTACGTCTGGCCACAGCGAGGAGGAAGGGCGGGGACCCAGGAGGCGGGCTGGAGGCCGACAGCAGGGCCGTGTCGGAGGCCGGAGGGACGTGAGGGCCCCAGAGGCCATTCCTTGGCGTTTTTAGATGGAGGTGGACGGAGAAGCCGGGAACTATCTGGGAGCCAGCCCAGAGACGCAGTTTGGGAAGGAGGTGGGGGTGGTTCTGGTCGTGAGGTTCTGGAGATGCCCCAAGGCACCCGGGTGCCTTATGCAGGTGGCAGGTGGGACACCTGCAGGTGGCAGCGGTGTGGGGGAAGGGCCCAGTGCGGCTTCAACCAGGAAAGGCACCACTGGGCCGGGACGACCCCGCTTCCCGGCGTCATCGGGGGCCAGTTCCGCCGCGGGGCAGAGGAGAGCAGGGAAGGGGAGCAGAGCCCGTGGACTGGACGGAGAGAGGAGGGAGCGGCGGCGCACGCGCATCCAGACCCTGCCGCTGAAAGCCGTCCCTCCTCTCCACTCCCGGGCTCGGATTCGTCCCCGACTCACGGTGGGGACTCGAGGGTCTGAGCAGCCCGCAACGTTTGCCGAGGTCTTGGAACCTCGGAAGCAACAGACAGCTCAGCTGGCAGGTCAGCTCTGGGCTGCGGGGAGAGGGCGAGCCGCGCGGCCTCTGTCGACCGTTTCTCCATGAGACAGACTCCTCCACCTCCTACCACGGGGGTGTCGCCGCCCTCCCGGGACCCAGGCTCCCGCACTGCTGTCTCCACGGCTGCCCTCCGGGGGCCGTCCGTCCTGCAGGTCGGGTCTGCTGTTTCCTTGCCGCCCAACCTCCCGACCTCTGTCTGACTTCAGAGGGTCACCGTGGGACACGCACGTGGCCGGGGTCAGGGCCTGTGTCTTCGTGTGGGGCTCTCCCACGGGGTCCTTGCCGCCAGCAGCCCCTAGAGCTTCTGGGCAGGTCTCAGGACGACTCACCACCCTCCTGGAGGAGGCAGGGCCTGCCCAAGACTCACTACAGACAGCAGAGCTCCCTGAGCTCCACACACACGCGTGTGCACGCACTCGCAGGCACGCACACGCACACGCACACGCACTCTCCTGCGCCGCCTGTCCTGAATCCCAGTGTGCAAGGTTGGAGCCCAGGCCGTTCGCGGAAGTGCCTGAAGGCAGGGAGCCGGGATCGTGGCCTGGGGACGGCGTCAGGACCCTGCCTTCGGCTGGTGCACACACACAGAAACCCACGCAGAGGACAGGCAAAACCGCCAACTTCGCAAGTTCGTAGAAATGAAATACACTACACAGGGACGTCTGGTTTAAGTAATAAAATATATTTACGTGTGCAGAGTTTTGACTAAGGACGCGCAGAAACAGACAACCCACAGGCGGGCAGTCCACGTCTGGGGGTTGGGTTTACAGCCCCTGCCCACGCCTGCCCACGCCACGCGATCGGGTACAGACCAAGTTCCGTAAATACGATTTGTGAAAAGTGTGTCCGTACATTTCTATTCACGCAGGTCACTCCCACTGCAGGGCTGCTCGGCTCTGAGGACAGGGGGTCACCGCAGACTTTAAACCACAGGTCACGTGGAAGGTCCCATGAGCGGGAGTCACCCAAGGCCGCTGCCGTCTCACCCAGGAAGTGGGGCTGGGCAGGAGCCCACGCGACGCAGAGGCCCCGCTCAGCAGCACCGTGGGGGTGGCGCACGTCTCGGATGCGCCTCACGTTCCTGTCACTCAGTGCCTTCGGGGTTCGGCCTCCACCCGGACGGCGTCGCGGCCCCGGAATCCAGTGCGAAATCCCCCGGGACCCTCAGCCCTGCAGCTCTGGCGAGGGGCCAGCCCCTCGGAGCAGTCACCGTCAGTGGCAGGCCGTGTGCACAGCGTGGGAAACGCGAGGGGCTTCCGGCATCCCCGTGGTGGCCGGGCAGGCGGTCACACGTCGCTCCGGAGCTGGAGGTCCGTGGGGTTGCCGGACGCTGAGGACTGACTGGGCAGAGAAGCTTCTAGGCCATCCGAAGACGCTGCCAGGGGCTTGTACAGGAAGCAGGCGGCCGAGAAGAACAGGAGGCCAAGCACCTGCGGGAGGAGGAGCTGCTGGGCCTGGAGCCGCAGGCCCCGGATGCCGTGGTCGTCCCCAAGCCCCGCCCACCCCCACCGGTGGCTTCCTCATGAGGCCCGGAACCAGCCTGCTCCGGAGAGACAGCTTTCCACGTAACCAGTTCCCAGTGCTAATGGGGGGAGGAAAACGCCAGCTGATTGAAAACAGAGGTTGGGAGGAGGTGGGAGATCTGGCTGTGGGGGTACAGTCCTCCCCGGAAGAGGGCCCCACGTCCTCACCACGGGTGCCTGTGAATGGGACCTTTTCTGGAAGTAGGGTCTTTGTAGGTGTAGTCCGCTTAGAGGTCGGCAGGATTTCAGCTGCGCCCTAAACCCGCTCCCTTCCGAAACTGACGCCGAAGCCGGTGCCGTTGAAGCCAAACCTCGCCGTCCGGTGTGGAGCGATGGCCGCCCGAGATCCCGGCGTGTGGGAGGGGCCTTGGCCTCAGGACACTTCCTGGCAGCTGCACAGTGGCCCCACCTCACCCTCATCCTGGGGCATAAGACCCCCAGCGGTGCCTGAACCCCGGGTGGGACGGAGCCCAGCCAGCCAACGCCAAGGCCCCTCCCTCCAGGAAGCACTTCGTGGCTTCTCTTGGCGGATCCGAATTGCCGGCACCGCTACGCTGGCACTCGGGGCCACCCTAAGTGACATAAGGGCCATGTGAAAAGAAAAGATTTCAGGACCTTCCAAATTTATTACACCAAGGGGAAAGGTTAAGCTCTGGAAACTGAAGCACATAACGCAGTGGCCCCCGACCTCTTTGGCCCCAGGGATGGGTTTGATGGGAGACAGTTTTCCCACAGGCCAGGGGTGGCGGGGGGTGGTTTCTGGGTGGTTCAAGCGCATTAGATTTTCCACGCACTTTGTTATTGTTATATCACCACCTCCACTCGCGGCTGGGTTTGGACACGCGTCTGAGAGCGACTGATCTACGGCGGTCTCTGCGCCGTCAGACCTCCGCCAATCGCCGCCCGAGCTCCGCCGCAGCTCATCGGGTGTTAGGGTCACCCGAGGAGCCGCAGCCCAGACCCCTCGCACGCGCAGTGTACGGCGGGGTCGCACGAGAGTCCAACGCGGCCGCTGATCTGACGGGGCGGAGCTCAGCGGTGATGCCGGCGGCGGGGGCGGCTGTAGATACGGGTGCAGCTTCGCTCTCCCAGCGTCACCCCTGCTCCCCTGGTTCCTAACAGGCCATGGACAGTACTGGTCTGTGGCCCAGGGCGGGGACCGCAGACGCCGCACAGCTGTTTCTCTTCTCTGTGCCTGACCGTGGCTCCCGGCTTTGTGCTGAAACCTTACCCGTTAGCCGGGCTCTCTGTGGCTCCGCAAACCCCGGCTCGAGCGCGGACTCCGAGCACCTGTGGGGCGACCTCCTTACGACGTAAAGTTAAGCGACCTCTTCGGAGCAGGGTCAACAGCAGCCAGTCGAGCCTCATGCCGGATGTGGGCCTTGGCGTTAACACGTGACTGCTCAGCACCTCGTCTCTGCCTGTGTCGGCCGTCCTCATGCTCCCTGCACCCGGAGCGCTGGTCACCCCTCTTTGGGGTCCCTGTGTCCCCGGACGGCCCCCCTCAAACTCTGCCCTTGAATAAACTCTTTTAACTGGATCCGAGACTTTTGGTTATTTTAGGTTGACGGTTACGAGAACACAGCCCCGCGACAGCGACACCTCACTGCGGATTGAAAACCATGCCGGCCGCAGGTGGCAAAGAGGCAGGAGCACCTGCAGCGTGGAGACCTGCACCGACCCCGTCCTGGGCAGGACGCAAGGCTTCATGCCGCTACACAGACGGTGCACGATTCCAAACTCACAATGGCTTATTTCTGAAATTTTCCATTTAATATTTTCAGACCTCGGTTGACCTCAGGTAACTGAAACCTTGGGAACTGACCTCTCAGATTCGAGGGGCGGCGGCACTTCCCTGTGAGCTCACCCAGGCGCTGCCCCAGGGCCGCTGACCCAGGGGACACAAGTCAGCTGGTCTGTCCCTCCCCCTGGGGGCTCCGTCCTGGCAGCGCCTGGGCCGCGGGCTCCACGCACAGAACTTGGGTGTCTGCCACCCACGAGCCTTGAGACCCTCTGAGTGGCTGGCCCTGGGTTCCATTTTATTTTGAAGGTTTTGTGATTTTTTCCTCTAATGGGGGAAATTCAAAATATAAATACCACATTTCTTCCTGGGTCGCACACGCCAAGAGTTACAGCAGGAAGTTTCTCTGGGCAGCTTGAGAAACGCGAGTCAGGATCGGAGACGCGGGAAACTAACGCCACGCGCCCTTGGCCGAGGCCCCTGGGGTGGGGACAGGCCCAGAAAGCTGCCCTTTCAGGGAGGAGCCACTTGCGTTTCCCCAAAGCTTTCGGCTAACGGGCACCACCAGGCACCAGCCGGGCCCGGTGAGGAGGGGCCCCCCGGAAGGCGGGGAGCGCGGGCTGCCCCTACGCCTGGGCCGGGGGCTGCCGGGGCTCGGAGCGTGAACCCAGAAGGTGGCCCCGGGCCGGGCCTGCTCTCCCTCTGTGGCCGTCACGTGTCCTGAGTCCCGGCAGCCGGCACGTGCGGAATGCCCCCTCTAGGGACCGGGACTTCTGTGCAGCGTCACGGGGCTGGGCTGAGCTGTGGAAGAGCCCCGGGGGTGTCCCGCAGCCCGAGCTGGCTGGGGTGGAATCGCTCCCCTCCTTGGTGCTGACTCTCAGACCCTCCCCGAGGCCCGGCTCACCTTGTACAAGAGCCCCATGACGAGCATGTAGCGGCTCATGGCCGAGTTCCAGTACACCAAGCAGGAGCCGTGGCGGCCGCACTGGTCCTGCCACAGCAGACAGGCCTTGTCGATCACCCAGCCGAAGGCAATGGGCCCTGGGATGCCCCCTGTGGAGAGAAGCTCGCTCAGCGCCTGACACACGGGTGGACAGGGCGCTGGGCAGTCAAGGGACCGGGAAGGACAGGCTCTGGGAAGGTGACACTGGCCGCCAGGATTCTCAGGGGCTCTCAGGGGCAAAGGGGACTTGGCTTCGGGTTGGGAGTTCCCAAGACCTCCAAGGGAAAGAAACCCGCTGGGCAAACGAATGACCATGGGCCCCTCTAGTGGTCACTGAGGGAATGGAGCTCTTCCCCACGGGACGCCGCCTGGTGCTGGCATGCACACCTGCCGGGTGCCCTTGTGCAGTGAACACACTGCACAACTGACCGTGGCCTCCTCACGCTGCACAGTACCTAGTGTTCTAACTACAATCCACTGGATTCCCAGGGCAAAGGATCTCTGCCGCTCACAGACACACCTGCAACAGAAAACCGCAGCATCGGTACCCAAGAGGTGGGCTGTGTGCCACGTCACACCCCCACGCCGGAAGCCGAGTCCTGGCCACGCCCCTGGCCACACCACCGCCTCCCCAGGTGGCAGGCACCTCGCCAGAGGTCAGAGACAGGCCTGCCGTGCGGGGGCCGGGCGTGTCCCCGGCCTGTCGCGGGATCCGCAGAGCTCCACCTTCCAGGGCTGCAAGAGAAGGTTCCGGACAAGCGCAAACCGGGCTTACCGTAGCGTCGCCGTGAGCGCGGGGATGCTGCTGAGGAACGTAAAGAAAATTACAACGAAAACGAAACCCAGGAGGAGGGGCTTTCTCTGACAAGCGGAAGTGCATGTCCCTGCGGTGGCCTGGCCCACGCCAGAGGACAGACTCTGAGGACAGCTACAGTCTCGGTACACCTGAGGAGCCCAAACAGTGCTGATTACAGGAGGAAGGAGCGGCCCTCCCAGGGCCCAGGGGGGCAGGGGCTGTGGGCAGTGGTCCACTCACCTTCTGGCCGCCCGGTCCGGTTGCGGTGGCCTCGCGGCACCCTGCGTGGCAGGGCGAGTAGTACATGACGCCGTCCGAGCCGCACACGGGGCTGTAGTGCTGTGGCCGGCAGCCGCAGGCCGCGTTGCAGGGCGTCGTCAGGTTCAGGCTGCCTCGGGGCAGGAGGCTGCGGGGGGAGAGGGTGATGGGACCCAGGCCAGGGACAGGGGCGTCGTAGGCACAAGGACAGTCTCATGGTACGGCCTGTCCCCACCCAGCCTCACCCTGGGTCTACAGACTCTTTGAGCTTGCGCCACCCGAGCCGGTGAGATTGCCTCCGGGCGCCACGGCTGTTCTCAGCGCACACGCGGGGCACACGCCGGGCACGCCCACACCCTCTGCCGCCCCTGCCCCGGCTGCAGGGCGCATTCCAGGTTTGCTTGCTTGGTTGGTTTTGGGGGTAGGCAACGCATTCACAGGTGCTGCCGAAATTACTAAAGAGTGCCCAGTAGGAGACACCCCCGTGGCCCCAGCCCCCGGTCTCCAGCCACAGGCTGGCCGGGCCACGCGTCTGCAGAGGCGACCACAGGTGTGCACCTCCGCTTTCGCACTGAGGTCGGAGCCCTCTGCGCCCACGCTCAACCCCTCCGTCTTCTCCGCTTCGCGATGCACCTCGGCACTGGCCCGCGGACGCGCCTCCCCAGTCCCTCGCGGGCGCGGCCCTGCACTGTGGGCACCTTCCTGACACTTTCGGGCTGCTCCCGGGTTTGCCACGTCTGGCAGCGCTGCAGAGGCCTCTGCGCCTCCCCACGTCACACGCCGCACCTGCGGCGTCACACCTGCCGCGGGAACTCCCGGGGGACACACCCGGGCGGAGGTGCAGGCTGTGTGCGGCGTTTGGGCCCTCGCCAGCTGCCACCCGACGGGCTGCCCCTCACAGCCCCACACGGCAACACCCAGGAGCCGACCCCAGGCCACTCTCGTGTCAACACAGGGACGCTCCCAGGTCCCGTGAGCTGGGCCACGATCGTTGCGTTTTACAGAGAAGGCTGAGGCCAGAGAGGGACAGGACCCTCC